GTGGGGACGATCATCACGATCGCATCGCACGTGGACTGTGCCCTTGGGCGCGCATGGCGGATGCCTATGTTCCACCCTCAGCTGATGGCGGCGACAGCGATGCTGGAAAAGCTGCAGAAGTACTTCAACGCGCTGAACGAAGCAGTACTGGGCAAGCGGTTGGGTACCGCGCCTTTCAACATGATTGCCGGCCACCTTGCTCCGGAGTTGCGGACTATCCCGACGAGGGAGCAGATGCCCGACACTTTGGCGCAATCAGCCGCTGAAATCATGCTTTCCCATGTTTATCTCACTCGGGATCTACTGCCGATAGGGAGCAGATTCTCGGGAGAGATGGCAACCCATTCGTGAAGTCATGGTTCGAGGATGAGCCTGATGGGGCTACCTGGCCCGGACATCACATGGCTGGAGGTGTTGCTGTTCCCCTGAACCGAACACAAAGATCGTTTGGGGAAAGCGACCGCACGTCGATGACGAGGGCGAGGGACCCGGAGGCGAGTTCGTCAGGGTAGCAGAGGATGATGACGAAACACTTCCTGACATAGGGAAACTTTCCATGGCGGAGGGGAAGAAGGACGACATGGATGTGGACCAGGGCGCTTCGGTTCCTCTGGGACGTTCAAGTCTGGGATGTGTGAACCCAAGCCTCGGGATACTGAGGCTGGGCAGGCAAACCTGAACAAGATGCAGTTCGAGGAGTACCGAAAGGCTGCGCCCAGGTATGAGTACAGTGGAGAGGGAGATGACAAGAGGCTCCTTCCCAAGAACACTCCTATGAACATGGAGAAGCCCCTGCCGGCCGAGGCGGCGCTCTTGATTCCCAGAGCCGTGGCCACGCAGGCGGAAGCTGAGGAGGCCGAGAGGGCTGCAATGGAGGCTATCCGCGGGGATGCAAGGCTTCCTGACGTTGGTCAGGAGGCGGTCGATCCTCACACCGCGACGAATGAGGACCTGACAGCGTCGAGAGACGAGTTAACGAGGAGGCTGAGCAACATGCCCGAGTGGCGTTCGGGTAACTTGCTTGATCCAGCGAGATCTGCCGAGCTGGTTGCGGCAAGGTGGGGCGGAAAGGCAAGTTATGACAAGCCGGAGGCTCCACTCACCGAGGCTGGGATGAAGAGCGCAACACAGGAGGATCGAGCGTATGCTCTCACGCAGCTGAATGTGGTGGTGAACTTCCACAAGAAGCATTTGTGCTTCGGACGAGGGGCGCCATCGTTGAGTGCGACTGCTCCGCTAAATCCGTACGCCCCCAACCAGATTGACGAGAGCAGGAAATTCCGCCCGAGCGAGCTGGTCAGGAAGGCGACGTATAACCTCGTGGTCTTGGACGGAAAGAGGGATTATCCTGCCGATAGGCAGGAGATCAGACAGGAGTTGCGAAATGCTGGGCTTGTGCCTAATGTGGTTCCCACGAAAAGCAGGATGGGCGAGTACGTTCCGGGTTATGATCAGGTGGTGGCGGCCACAACCGCAGGGCGGGAGGCTGCACAGGCTCTGATGAAGCTGCTCACGTGCGAATTTGATGATCTGGTCATCAATTCGAAGAGGGTCTCGAGGAGAAGGTGCTGAAGAAAACTGGACGTGAAGCTGGAAATTGGGTCAATGTTGACCAGGCCGTGTGGTTTCTGAAGGAGGTTGTGGGGATGGAGAATGCTGAGATGACTTGGACATTCTTTAATCCGGCAATCAAGGCTCTCCCAGTCGGGCAGGTTGAGGTCATGTTAATGGCCATGTACGACGAGGCTGGCGTTCTCCTCAAGGATCACACTAGGTTGGTGGCCGTTAGGTTCACGCGGATCGGACGGGATATGAGCTTTCAGGCTGTGCGACGTAGGTACACAGATGGGGATGCTCCTGGTGGGTCTCTCATGTATGAGATGAGATGAGCTTCCTGAAGTTCCAGGACTTCAGGAAGGCGGTCCAACTCCAAAGGATGAGGCGGAATGGAAAGGCCATGATCGAGATATTGATCACAAGGCCACATGGGCCTTCGCCGCCCACTGCGTCCTGCTCAGAAGCTGCTTCGGCTGGGAAGGCCTCCTCTTCCTCCACTTTCAGGTGCCTCTGCCTCCATTTCTAGCGGGTCATCTGACCCCGATGTATCCAACCCATAGGAAGGATACAGATATCCTGGCTAGCCATCGGCTGATGGCTGATATCAGGAACTATATGGTCTCGTCGACGGGGTACGACGAGAAGAGGCTGGGAGGCGATTGCCAAGGTGCAGAGGCGATCAATGATGGAAGGTCAGAGCCTCCTGTCCCTTTCCGCGACCCATTCGTCTACGTTGGTGGCGAAAGGGTGAGGACCGTTGTTGATAGTGAACAACCTGAACCGCAAGATGTGAACATCGACGAGCTTCAGTCGGTGCATCATGCTGCACAGGGTCCTGGTCCAAAGCAGGAGCCGGTCATCAAGGGCGGAAAGGGGAAAGGAAAGAAGGGTGAAAAGGGCGACCGAAGTCAGGTGAGACATCGGGAAAAGGATCTGGCAAGGGCGATAGCTGCGCCGTTCCAAAAGCAAAGGGTAAGGCTGAAGCTGGGCCGACTCCGATGGAAGTCGATCCACCCGAGGCTCAACCGAAGAAATCTTGGGTCGCGATAGCGGTTGAATGTGCTCGGCCAAGTGCGAAGGCTAAGACGACTCCGTCCACAAAGGCCAGTGGGGTTCCTGCCCCAAAGGCCGAGCCGAAGGGAAAGGCAACTCCCGTTCCTGAGGCGAAGAGCGCTCAGGCTCCGAAGGCTGAGCCCAAGGAGATGAGTCGAGCTGACCCGAAGGTGGAGGTCAAGAAGGAGAAGGGGAGCGGAGACGATGCTCCCGGCGATAGTCGGGGCTCGGCTGATAAGCAAAAGAGGGAAAGAAAATCTCGTTGGGATCCAGAGGTGCCTGCAAAGGAATCAACGAAGCGGGAGGCATCGACGAGACCCGATGATGTGGATAGAGGTGCAGCGGCAAGAGAGGCAAGTGGGGATGATCTCCACTCCGCTAGCGCCCTTGACAGCCTCTAAGGCGATGGCAAAGAGGCCTGAAGGGAGTGAAGTCAGGCTGCGCTTGGCAGAGCGAGCTGCTGCGAGCCCAGTTGAGGGTCATTTCAGGACGTTGCCGGAGGGCCTGATGTTGGATGCGTTCCTGGCGATGTCCTCCAACCGGGTGCTCAACCGGCAGGTTAGGGACTTCATCAGGAACGGCGAGGAAGGCTCGGCGCTGGAAACTCTCAACCAGATCGTGGCGAACCCCCATGTGGAGCGGGCGCGTCGGGGGACTGATGTCTCCCGAACGCCTTCCCGGAGGTCCGTTAGGACTCAGGACACCAGGGATTCTCGCGACTCAAGGAGGCGCAGGTATCGACCGCGAAGGGACGATGACCGAGACCGAAGGAGAGATGATCGTCGGGATCACCTTGGTGATGAGTCTCTTGATCGAGACCGGGATCGGAGAAGAGACGATCGCAGGAGATCCGAGAGGGATCGTGATAGGGACCGTGCGCGGGGCGGACGTGGCTTGCGCCCGTTCTCCGTGCGGTGGTGATGATCCTTCCGAACCGCGGCGCGGAGCTCATGTCTCTCCTGCACCACTGCCCGGCTGCTGGTCGGGGACACCATGGGATGCGAACCGGTGGAGGTCTCCCAGGTTTGCGGAATTTGTGTGTTATTCAAGCGCGCAAGGGTACTGGTGGACATAAGTTATCTTTTTCATGGCTTCTGATAAGAATTGGACTACTTGCATTGTTGATGCAAACAGTTGTGGCCTAGTGTCGTCATGTGGACTCTTCCACGAGGTATGTTGGACAGCGTTACCCCGATTAATTCGGGGTGGTGGCGGGAATTTAATGCCCGGGATGTCGCGCAACTGCCTTTGTGGGTTTGCTCCACTGCTGACGGCGGTAGTGTCCAGCTGTTTGCGGACGCATGCGAGCAGTTAAATCCTATCAGTAAATGGCACGCTCCACCTGTCATACGAAAGGTTTATTGTGAGGGGGGTGTTATTAGCCATGGTTTAATCCATCACCAGGAATGTCGCGATAGTGACTGACCGGTGGTGTTTGGCTCAAGTTTGCGGGTCCGTCGCGCCTCGGATGAGCGTCGCCGGGTCCCCGCGTCGATCACCTTCGTGTCGGTGGAGAAAGAGACATCGGCCCGGGGCAGATTGGTGGGGTCCGCCCGTGCGGTTCATCGTCGATCAAGGTTGCACTTTGGGACCGGGGATTGGTTTGCTTTTGGGGAACCTTTCTTTGTGGCTTGTTTACCCCAACTAACCCATTGCCTGGGCACAGGTTCGTGCCCGAATCGCACTATATAATTGTTTGTGCTGAAAACACTGGTCTTGCAAGTGGTCTTTTTCGCTACCGCAAAGGGTGGCTTCTCCCAAGTCTAGTGGATGATGCTGAGGATGCTGGTGATGCTGATGATGCTGAGCCCTGTTTTCAGCACAAAAACTGATTCAGATTTTGTGTTGAAAACTCGTGCCTTGCAAGTGGTTCTTTTTGCTGCCACAAAGCTATCTGGCTGTTTATCATCCTGTGCTGCTACTGCTTCGACGGTGCTGTTGCGAGCGATGTAGCCACATGCAGCCACTTGCAGCCACTCGCAGTCACTCGAGTGGCTGCGAGTGGCTGCAAGTGGCTCAAATCAAAATGATGCACTTTTGCACGCTCTCTGTTGATGAGTGCCTGCTTTCTGAAGTTCCAACAAACCATTTTCTGGGTTGTGAGCTGCTTGCCGATTGGATTCCTGCTGCTGCTGCTGCTGCTGCTGCTGCTCGTCGTCGTCGTCGTCGTCATCGTCGTCGTCCTCGGCATCAAAGTGGTGGCGTTGAGGGTCGAAGAGACGCATCCTTTGCGCGCTGTCCGTTTCCGCGCCTGTGTCTGGCTGCTCTTTCCCTTTGCAGCCCGCTTTTGGGGTCAGAGATTGACATTGAACGTCGATTGTTTCTCTTGCCATGTTTGCTCTACCCATCCGCAGTGCATTTGCGGATCGCTATAGCTTTTGCTGTGGCAGGATTGGAAAACGAAGCATGCCTTCGGGTATGTGAAAGCCCCTGGCGGCCAGCTGAAGACGCAGCAGGCCTGACGAGAGCTGGGAAAACGGCTTGCAGAATCTGTCGCCTGTCATGGAAGAAGTCTGCTTTCTTTGCATGAAGCAGACCAAACTATGCGGCTTGTCTTCATATTCACTTTCCATGTTTGTGATTCTGAATCGACCCACCGCAATTTGCACCGTGCGAACTGTTCATGGATTCCCTTGACTTTCGCATCCATCTTGCCACTCACAGAGAGAGAGAGAGAGAGAGAGCGAGTGAGCAAGACCGCTCTGGCAGGTGATTGCAGAGATCAACAGATATTTGCAAGAGAAGAAGGTCATGGAGAACAAAGATGTTTTCGTGGCAACCGGCGTTGGTAATCACCAGATGATGGCATGCCAATTCCTTCGATGGACAAAGCCGTATCCTCAGAGTGAAGCACGGGTGGGACACGGGTGCTCAACGTCGGGCAAAGCAGCTTTCCAACGTTTGGCTGCCTTTGATCGCCTTTGGTTAAGGCCAACACTTTTTGCAGTGGCCATGCCTCGGTGTATTGACGGCAATCTAAGAAATCAGTACACATTTGGTGCGCTGCCCCTTTCACAGTGGGGAGTTCTCAGCTCGCCGACGTAGAACACATTCTTCCAAAACAGGCCTCGTTTTCGCAGAATCATGTTTCTCCTGCAGGGTCTTGCAATCAAGTCTGATTCATTGAAGAGCCCTCTGCCTAAGCAAGCGCATATGACAGATAAATTTGAGCAGTGCCGTTGGTATTTGGGAGGCAACGACCTTCCTTGTGTTTTTCCTTCAAACAACTGAAAGCTATGGGGGTGCTAGCTTCAAATACAAAGAGCGGGTGCGACGAATAAGAATAGGGTGCTGTTGCGCGTGTGCTTGTGGAGGTGTCGGGCTGTGTACTGGAGGGTGCTTCGGAGGCTGTTGCAACACCCCGTTGCAGAGTCTCGCCGGAGAGTTTGACAGTGAGTTTCGGGTGCCGTAGCATGCTGTTACCTGTGCTTTTGGAAGGTGTTGGCCAGGGTGTGAGATCAGTTCTTAAGCAGCAAGCGCCCAGCAGCAGCATGTCCTACCCAACAGCAGCAAAACAAAAGCCAGTGGGAGCATCGTAGTCTTTTGAGTGTGATGAATAATGACACCTCGGCCTCTTCGCTCTCTTCGAATGAACAGCGCCCAGCGCCCCTGCATCTCTTTGTACTCCAGAGGTTGAACAGATCATACTTCAAGGTCCAGTGACCGGCAACTGCGTTGACAATGCACATCTCCCATGACCTGAACTCAAGAAAGCCGACCTATTTATTGCACGATGCATCAACCGGGTTGTTGGGCTGGAGCGTTTGGGTTGACCACCTGTCCCAGGCCCCGCAGCTTCATCACCAGCGGCAGCTTGGGCGTCATGGGGGCTGGCCTTCCCTTCGCCGTCGGCGCCCAGGTGAGGAAGCGGATTGGCTTGGAAAAAGTCTACGGGGCCATGAGAACTGTAGATCAAACTTGCATTCAATCAATAGTTTTGAAATGGTCGCTCCATTCGAATATGGGAATCTTTGTGGCCTTTTGCTTTTGATAAAGGGGGTCATTCCAAGGGAAGGAGGACCACAAATTGTCTCCACACCACCCTGATCTCATGGAAGCGTAGCTTGCGCCAGGTCTGCCGAGCATGCTCTTGCGAGCAATCCCTCAGAAATCACTTTGCTCGGCGCAGGTTGCAAATCCGGATGCGCTGACGATCCTTATTGATGGTGATGGCTCCTTTGGAATGACCAACATGGACCTGCAAACGGTGAAGAGGCGCATGCAGGCTGGGACTTGCCCATGCCAGGACTAGCTCCTGTCAGGTATAAATTGCCCATCAAGATGGCAGTGATGAATGATGATAGGCGGCAGCTGCTGCTGTCTTGTGTTCTTTGTTGTGGGTGCCACGAAGTGTGGTGGCGTGGCTGGAATTCTGCGAGATCTGGGGAGCGTGCCAGGCAACAAATGGTTTGGATATGGCAGCGCTTGTTCTTTGAGGGCCGTTACATCAGTGCGACTTGCTGGCATTTGCCAATGCGGATTTGGTCGTTAAAGTCCGCTTTTGCGCACGTTCATTTTGCCGAGAACTTACATCATTTACTGCTACAAGCTACATTGTCACAGAATACATTGAGGGACAGCACAGGCCATCACAATGGTCAGTTCATCTACCTTGAGATTATGATCGGTCTAGCGTTTCCTTGAAGGTAAGGCAGCAAGATGCCTTTCATCGTGAAAGTCAATTTCAGATTGACACAGGATCACCTCGTTCGGTTGGCACACGATATCTCTTCTTTCTGCTGTTTTGGGCTGGTCATTTCGCCATCTGGCCTAATAGTCTTCTTGTCTGCTTTCCAATGACACTTGCTTGTGCTGACAAACGAGCCCCGTGACTGCACAACAACTACAATCCCCAAAAGACAGCGCTTTCATGGACCTCCCCCTGCAAAGAATTCTTCATGGATGTGCTTTATGCCCCAGGCGGGGTTCACAGCCTTGTCGAAGAATGCTTCGCAGCGCTATGCCAATCTTTGTGTGGCTGCAAGCCTTTCTATTCTTTTGATGAATGCTCATGCTGAGACATGTCTGTTGTTCACACGCTTCCGATCCATTGTAGCCTGGGTTTAGTGTTGCACTCCTCCATGTCGGAAACAATGGCCATATTTCGTGTCTTCTCCCTCCGCAAGAAAATATATTTGTTTGAGCTTCCAGCCCATGAGGTGACGAATGACAACCCTGACTTCGTCGCCCTGGCAAAGGCCGCACCTGCACTTTTTCAGGCTGTGCATTCTCCGATCTTTACGAGATATTCGCCAGAAGGTATCAGGTATACATGTCACTCCTTCTGTTGCGGATTGCGGCAAGACGCAGCTCTGCTCGGAAAGGCCTACGACATCCCTGCTGTCCTTTGCGACAACGAAGCAGACTTACCAAAGGCTCCTGCACGAGCATGGATTTGGTCGACACAAAGACCCTTTTCGAGACCACGGGTGAAATTCTGTGATGTTGCAGGGGTCCCCAAGAAACGGCAACCTTGTTTGTATCAACTCCGCCTTTGGCCGTGGAGGTTATTGAACAGTGGCTGACACATGATGGCCCTATGCTGGTCGAGTTTAAGATCGCTCGGGCCCTGGCATTTTTGCCTTGCACGGATGTGTTGTACACCAGTTCTGTTCTTTGGGTTTCCTTTTGCTTCTTGGTTTGATCCTGGTTGGTGCGATAGGGCAAGACATGAACCTAGCTTTTCATGCAGAGGCGTGCAAGGTGTATGGTCGCGTTTCATGAGACAATCCCCTTTTAGGGTATCTCTTGTGGCCGCGTCCTGTGGCGTATGTCGCCCTGTTTCTCGGTGATTTGCCCACACATTTTTTTGCTTGAAACAAGCGGGTTGTGATGGCAACGCCGGGCCAGCTTAGGTGCCAGACATTTGCCTGCCCATGGTGGCACCCGGCAAGGCTAGGGATGGAAGCTTCAGCGCTTTCAAG